CAGAACATCTTCTGTCTTTTTTTTTTTTTTTAAAGATTTTATTTATTTATGAGAGAGAGAATGAGAGAGAGAGCATATGAGGGGGGTAGGGTCAGAGGGAGAAGCAGACTCCCCGCCGAGCAGGGAGCCCGATGTGGGACTCGATCCAGGGACTCCAGGATCATGACCTGAGCCGAAGGCAGCCGCCTAACCAACTGAGCCACCCAGGCGCCCCCAGAACATCTTCTGTCTTATCACTAGCATTTTTCTTTTAGCTATGATTTGGGGGTATATCCGTTTCATTTATTCTCAATATTTCGGTGTTCTTATGTTTTAGATACGTCTCTTGGCAAATATCTATAATTTGAATTTTTAAAAATTCAACCTAAGTAACCTCTACTTTTTACTATATGAGCCTAATTTGTTCACATTCACTATGATTACTGATACATTTATACCTATTTTTTACCTTCTTTTGTGTTTCTATTTACCATGATTTTTCTTTTAAGTTTTTTTTTTCCCCTTTCTTCCTTCTGTTGAATTTATTAAGTATTTCTTGGTTCATTTTTTTGGTTTTGTTTTGTTTTGGTCTTTATCTCCCTCTACTGGTTTGGAAGTTATACATTCTATATCTATTCTTTACTTGTTATTCTTAAATTTAACACACATACTTAACCTTAAGAAGTCTAGAGCTAGTTGATGGAGGGAGGTGGTGGGGGATGGTCTAGATGGGTGATGGATATTAAAAGGGGGCACTTGTTGTGATGAGCACTGGGTGGTGTATGTAAGTGACAAATCACTGACTTCTACTCCTGAAACCAATATTGCACTATGTGTAACTAACAAAATTTAAATTTAATTAATTAACTAGTTAATTAATTAAATAAAAAGTCTAAGGCTGAACTGTGCATTATAGCAGGGCTACTAACCACCTCTGGAAATAGCCACATTGGAAACAGGATCAATGGACAATTAAATTTTTCATTTTAATTAATTTTCATTTTAATTTAAAAATTGATACACAATCCCGTTGTTGGAAAGCTTTTACATATGCTTGGAACAATTTGGGTAGGTGAATTGTCTTTTTCAACTCTAAATCTTGTGAAATCTAAATACAGATGAAATATTTCCAGTGAAAATTTAGCATCCAAATGAGATGTGGTATAAATGTTAAAATACACACTAGATTTGGAAGGCTTATATAAAAAGAATATAAAATTTTTCAATGATAGTACTTATATTGATATTATGTTGAAATGGCAGTTGACCTTTGATCAACATGGGTTTCTTGATAAATATAGTAGTACAGTATTGTAAATGCATTTTCTCTTCCTTAAGATTTTCTTAATAAAATTTTCCTTTCTCTAGCTTCCTTTATTTTAAGAATATGGTATATGATACATATAGCATAGAAAATATGTGCTGATCGACTATTATAAGTAAGACTTTCAATCAACAATAGGCTATTAGTAGTCAAGTTCTGTGGGAGTCAAAATCAGAGTTTTGACTGTGGGGGGAGGTCAGCACCCTGAGCCCCCACATTTGTTCAAGGGTCAACTATATAATATTTTAATATGTTGTATTAAATAAAATATATTATTAAACTATTTCCTCTGCCCTTTTTCTTTCTTCTTTTTTAAATACTTTATTTATTTATTTGACAGAGAGAGAGATAGCGAGAGCAGGAACACAAGCAGGGGGAGTGGGAGAGGGAGAAGCAGGCTTCCTGCCGAGCAGGGAGCCCGATGCGGGACTCGACCCCAGGACCCTGGGACCATGACCTGAGCCGAAGGCAGACGCTTAACGACTGAGCCACCCAGGTGCCCCTCCTCTGCCCTTTTTCAACATGACTACTAGAAAAATTTTAATTGCTTGTGTGGCTCACATTATATCTCTATGAGACATGTTCATCTGGAGTTCAAGCCCCAAGGAAGGACCCAGGAGTCTGGAGGTTCTAATTCTCCCTCCGTTCTTCTCTTCCATGTTATTAGATTCAGTATTAGTCATTGTTACGTGCAATAGCCTCTCCACCTTGTTCTTCATGCCCCCATCTTAATTCATTACTCTCATTTCTTTTATAGACAATGATGACTTAGATTGACCCCAATGTCTGTCGACTTCTTCATCCACCTGTACATTTGGCCACCCCAGGTTTTCTTTGCAGGTCAGCTCTTTCCATCGACTTCCAGAGGCCACACTGCGGGCAGCATTGACTCCCTCAGTGTCACTAATGATACCGAGGACCCGGACCTGGGCAGAGACCCACCTGCCACAGGTGCCAGGACGTCCACGGCTCTGTTTGAGTACAGCTGGTGCACTGCGGCTTCTTCCACCTCAGGGGGAGCTACTGTGGGCAGGAGCCACCGAAGGCTGGGGCAAAAGCCTGAGCCGTGGGCAGGCGAGCAGCCTCCAGGGTGATGCTCTGCTCAGCTTCCACATCGCTCCCGCCTCTCTGTGGCTGGCCACCATGCTCACACTGACCTCTGACTCAGAGTGGGACTTCCGACGAGCAGCACCTTGCCCATTCCTCTTAATCCTCTCCCAGAATGTACAGCTGATTATCTTGGCCACACTCTCTGGGCCCTACCTGACCGGAGTCATGGCCGAAGCATCTTCTTCTCTCTTAAGGACTAGGGGGCCGTTCCCCAGTGCCGGCACCACTCATCTCAGCCCAGAAGGCCAGGTCCTGGACTGCCGGCAAGCAAGTGAGGCACTCGTTACCTCCTTCAAACTTGCACCTGGCTTGCCTCACTTGACTCACCCTTGCCCCAGCCTTGAATTGCCCAGAAGTTATGTGTTTCCGGTGGGTGTGGCACAAGTCACCGCTCTGAGCCCCCTCAGGCCTACAGAGCTCCTCCTCAGAAGGGCTTCCTCCGAAATGATAGTATGCTGCTGAACACACACACACACACACACACACACACACACGCACGCGCGCACAACCCCCCCCCCCATAAGTAGTGTGCTGAGAGCACCATCGTGTGGCCACAATTGCCAATTACAGTCAGGATTGCTATCTCTCTCTCCCTTTTATTTCTTTGAGAGTGAAAGAGTGTGCACGTGCGGGGGTGGATAGGGGGAGAGAGAGACTGAACCTTGAGCAGGTTCCATGCCCAGTGCGGAGCCCGAGGCAGGGCTCAATTCCATGACCCTGAGATCATGACCTGAGCCGAAATCAAGAGCAGGACACTTAACTGACTGAGCCGCCCAGGCGCCCCTTACTCTACCTATATTAATTAGTTCAGTGCTTCTTCTATTCAATAATGGGAAGCCCTCTTCAAAAGAAAGGGAGACAATCCCCTGACTCTAGCATCAAATTAAATATATATATCCAGAAAATAATATATATCCTTCCAATGTTTATAACTTATAACAACTAAGAAAAACAAAACTTTGCTATGGAAAAACAGACAAAAAGTCTCCTAAGATTTCTTAATGCAGTGTGATCTACAGTGTGGTTCTGGCTGAATTTGTGACTGCTGGGGTTTAACAGCTGATTGATAAGAAGCTTCCAGAGGATCATTGTGACTACCATGATTTCTGGGGGCTTCCCTTACCCAGGACCCTAACTTCACAGAAGCCAGTCAGCCCACTGATGGTGACAGGTTCCTGGCTAGGACTGAGGGTTCCCATTCCATCCCCTAGGAGTCTCCAGAAAAAGACCCAAGAGGCAGCCATAGTATGGCTGCTAGCTCCTGAGGCCCAGGACACCAGAGCCCAACAGAAACATTAAAGATAGGCACATTCTCTGCCACTTGCTGTCAATTGCGTTTTAGGTACAAATGAAAACTCGGGCCCTGACATCATGTAGTTTGATTGTAAGGTAGTCATCCCACCTTATAAAAATGGTTTACTCTTTGATGTGTAATGTGAATTCAAATGCAGGACATATAAAAATGTGCAGGAGACCCAGTTTGAGAACCAAACACTGCCCTGGCTAATGCTGCGGCTGACGACGGAGGAAACAACCCTTCCTGGGCCCCTGTTAAGTGTAGCTGCATCATGGCCATTAGGACAGGTCCAGAGCACTTAGCCAGGTGCTTTGAGCGGCTTACCTCACTCAATCCGCACTGCCGTGATGGGGAACAGCACTCAGAGAGGCAGCGTAACTTACCAGTGACCCAGGGATAAAGTGTCCAGGCAAGAGTCAAAAACCACTTTTGCCTGACTCCAGTGCATCTGCTCCCTCCGTTACAGCTCCCATGCCTCCCCCAGCAAGCCTGGAGCCAGGTAGTGGCCCTCCACAGTGCATGCCCAAAGGAGGCCTAGCACGCTGCTTTGCAATCATGCCCGCCGTAGCCGTGGGGTTGGACAGGGTCCAAGAACAATACACCACGCCTTGCTTCTCACAAGCTCTGGCCCTGCAACAGCATGTGTGCCCCCTTGCCTCTGCCAGCAACTACTCCATCATGGCCCACCCCACCCTACTCTCAGGGGCTTCCAAGGGCAGTGCTTAGGGTAGATGCCGGGCCTGCCCTCTGCCATCATCATCATCTCCCTGAGTCTGGACTGACCGAGACTCCAACCCAGCCCCAGCTCTGCCCAGATGCCAAATCAGACTTTCTAAGACTTCCAGTCCATGGCCAGCCACCCTGTTTTGGTCAGGGAGGACAAGAGCAAAGGGCCACACTGAGTCCAGGGAAGGGGGGAGGCCGGCGCACCCTCACAGAAGGGGGCTGCCCACCAGAGCCACTGGGAGGCCAGGTCAATAAAGGCTGCCTTCCTGTTTCTGTCCTTGACCTTGGCTTTCAAAAGATTTTTAATCAGCTGGCCTTGGTTTCAAATCTCAGCAATACCACTTGTAATCTGTCCCCTTGGGAAATTCACTGAACCTTTCTGACCTCAGTTTCCCAAGTGATGCTGGTTCTTTGGGAAGTGGTTCAGATCCCTACCCCCCAACCCCCAACCTGAGGGTTCCTGCCCTGCTAATGACCTCCAGCCCCATCTTCCTGCCCAGACTGAAGACACAAGACTGGCCAGCTGTGCAGAATTCAGGAAGACCCAGTGTGGAAATCCCCAGGAATCCTACACACCCTCCCAGCCACGGGTGGCCCCCGGGAAGGTGAGGCTACAGGTGAGGGTGGGGAGGGTGCGAGCCGGCTGACACGGAGGCTGGGAGCCGCTGAGCTGGGACTGCGAGCGAGGCCACGTCCCCGGGCGTGTGAGGCGGTGAGTGCTGGTGCCCGCCAGGGGGCGCTCTGCACCAAGTCGGACTCCAGGCGGGCTTCCGCCGGCCAGCCTGCCGCAGCCCCTCCCGGCAGAGGTTAGCCTGGCAGGGCAAGACTTTCTCAGGCGGGGCGGCCGCAGGCTCTTAGCAGGCCAAGGACGGCCATCAGCGCATCGTCCCCAGAGGCACCGAGGAGCCAGGGAGCCTGCATCTGACTGATGATGTTGGGCCTGGGCAGCTTCCTCCTGGTCCTGCCTGCCTCCCCTGCTCACATGGGGGATGGGGGGGGGCAGGGCCACGGCCACGGCCACGGGGTGAGCAGAGGGGGCAGGGAGGCCGAGCGCTCCCTCCAGGCGGTGTCCGAGGAAGGATCCCAGGCAGGCTCTGGGCGGCGGAGACGGCGGTTTCTGGCCCCGGGTCCCAGGTGAGCCGACCCGGCGGGCAGCACCCACGCAGCTTTCCTGGGCGTCCGCCTGCCCGGGCCCGGATGCCCCCCAGGTGGTGGGTGCTCGTTGGCACGGCTCCCGTGCAGGGGCAGCCCGAGGCTGCGGGGGATGAACGAGGGGCCACAGGATGAACACGTGCGGAGCCCAGTGCAGGACGGCGGGACCGTTTGGCGCCCTAGAGGGATGGGGTGGCCGTGAGCCCCGAGCGCCGTGGGTTTGAATGCCCCACCTCCACCACGTTAAACTGGGATGGGGTGACCCACGAGTCCACTGTAGTATTCATTTCTGTGTACTGTCCCGTTAATGTATCTGCTCCACAGCTGGGCCTACTGAGTGCTGGTTGTCATTATTAATGCCTGTGGGTCGGGGGATGCCCGGTGCAGGGCATACTGGCCTGAGTCCAGGACGACCTGGTGCTCCCAGCGCCCTCTCCCACGGTGAGCCGGTTGGCCGTGTGGCCGGTGCCGATCAAGCTGCTCCTGGCTGAGTCATCCCTCAGCTCCCCAGGACTGCCTTGCAGGGGGCTGCTAGGCACCGGGAGCGGTGCCCCGACTCTGCTGAGCTTACCTGGGATGTGGCTTGCCCTTGAACACTGCTGCCAAGAAAGATGGGTGAGGGTAAGGGGAGGGCCAGGCTGGGTGCTTGGAGAGCAGTTCTCTCTCCTCTGCCCCTGAGGTTCCTCCCGCTCTCCCTGCGGCCAACAAGCAAGGCCCACCGTATCCGCCCTTCCACCCCTGTTTTCCCCAAAGCAAAAGCCCATGCTCTAGAGTCTTGTCATCCTCACTGCAGGCTGAGGTCTGCGAAGGCCCCTCCTCTAACCAGAGCCCTGCTGGTACAGTCATTCTCCCCACACCCCCACACACATGCACTCCCCCCATGATGTAAATGGGGGCCACTGAGGGGCAGAGACCTGCCCAGGGCATATGGCACAGCCAGGACAGGGGCCCAGCACACTGGTTCCCAGGGAGGCCTCTTTGCTCTGTGATAGCAGGACTGACATGTGGCCAGGAGGCAGGTAGGGGCTGAGAACAAAAGTAAGAATGATCATGTCCAAGGGGAAGAACTAACATTTTACACACACACACACACACATGGGGTCAGTCTCATCTGTCTTATCCTTACAGCAGTCTGCAGTGGGCACTGTATTTGGAGCCGGCTCCCCACATTGGTCACAGGACTCTGGCATCTATTCCAGCATCTACCTCTTTCCTGTACCAGCCTAGTCCACCCAGCTCCTGGGATGATACCAGGCTGGTTTAGCCAATACGTACATCTCATTCCCCAGCCTGCCGGACTGCTTCAAGGATGGATTTGGTTGCCCAATCAAAGCCACAAGACAAGAGGTATTTGGAAAGGTAGGGAAGGGAAGCTTCCCAGCATTTCTGAGAGAAACACCAAAAGATATGTTCTCTTCCTATTAGACATGAAGGAGAAAATATTAGCTCCCGAAGCTTGGCATCCAGCATTTTTTAATAATTAGGAAACCTTGGTGTGGATGAAACAGACACCCAGGAAGCAAACAGGGGAACTTGAGGGTGGGAGGGAAGCAGACTAGGTTGACATTATCTACTGCTGGATCCAGCCATGCCTGAAGTTCATATTATGAGGCCTTTCCCACTAAAGGAGCCAATAAATCCTCCCTTGTGTTTGAAGCCAATTTTAATTGTCCTTTTTGTTTCCAGCAACTGAAAGTTTCTTACCTGATTATCTTCTTTTGACCAAAGATAAAATCGATACTCAGAAGGTATAAACACCAGGTTGCCAGTTAAAATACAGAATAGTCCATTAAATCTGAATTTCAGACCAACAGTGAGTACCTTTATAGTAGATACTATGTGCCATGCAATATTTGGAACACATTTACACTAAAAACAGAAGGGCATTCTGTATTTTTATTTGCTAAATCTGGTAGCCCTATTCCAGTAGCATGTCCAGATTCACACTACTAGAAAAAGGAAAAACCTGGACACAGACCCAGAGTTTTCAATTCTAAAGCCCCTATTATACCAGGTCATAGGAAGGGCTTCTTCCTGTCATTCTTCATTCCCCTCAGCCACCCTCCCAGTCCTATGTGCTTGGAGAATACAAAGAGATGTCACGCTGGGTCCCTAAGGGTCTCCGAGTCTGTCCTAGCTCCAGAGTTCTCTGCTGGCCACTCTGCCCCTCTAGCCCCTGCGCTGAGCTGCACGCCGCCCTCTGGTCTGGGGCCCTGCTGCTCTCTCCAAGCAGTGTGGCTTCTTTGGCTGCCTGCTGTCCCAGGTCGCTCCCCCGAGGCTCCACCTGGCAATTCCTCTGTACTGGCCCTGTGCTCCCCTCAGAGAGGCCAGCAGCTGGAACTGTCCACAGAAGGCCAAGGCTGGTGCATGATGATACCGCCCCATGCAGCCTAGGACAGTGCTGTCTGGTCCAGCAGCCCACAGCCCTGCTTCCACTTCGTGTGGCCGTGACAGCCCGAGTCCCTGCTCTCCCGCAGCCTGCAGGGGGGAAGGGATCTGCCCACACCAAGTGCTGGCCATGCTTGTGTTATCTGGGTGCTGGGGATTGGTTCTGTGATCACAAACACGCTACACGGGCGATACTGCAGAGACAGGGGAGCAGAGGAGACGAGAAGGGGGGTAAGAAGAACATTCTGGGGGCTGTCCTCCCAGGGGATGCTCCTGGCCTCTGTAAACTCCATATGTATTTAAATGGGACAGCACCGCCCCCTGGGAACTGCCTTTCCCTGAAATTGCCAGGACCACGATGTCAGGGGCGCCTGGGTGGCTCAGGTCATGATCCCAGGGTCCTGGGATCGAGCCCCGCATCTGGTTCCCTGCTTGGCGGGGAGCCTGCTTCTCCCTCTCCCTCTCCCCCACTTGTGTTCCCTCTCTCGCTGTGTCTCTCTGTCAAATAAATAAATAAAATTAAAAAAAAAAAAAGACCACGATGTCAATGACATGGATGGCTGCCTAAACGTCACTTGGCAGTTTCCCAATCGGGATTTTCTTTCCGATTTCCCACACGTGGAAATGATGCAGGGATTGCGCTGAATTTTCCAGCAATGGAACAAAAAGCCTCATCCTTAGCAGCCAGAGTACCAGGCTGAGGGTCTGCTGCTGGCTGCTGTGGGGGCTACGTCTCTCCATGCACGCGTGGGGACCATGTCCTCGGTCTCCCCACTAGCAGGACTGGGGCCCACACCAGCTGGGAGTCACAGACAGCATCTCAGCAGTCTCTGCGTGCTTGCAGGTCATTGTCTGTAGCCACTTTCTAGACTATGTGGGAAACACAGCTCCTTCTGAATCCAGGTCAGCTGATGGACAGGACCAAGCAGAGCATCTGACGTGTGAAGGGCTTTGCTATTTTGCAGCCTTCCTCGTCTTGTTGATGCCCTGCTCGCCCGGAGGGGCAGTTGTCATTATTGTTCCCATTTAACAGATGAGGAACTGATACCCAGCGGTCCCGTGACTTGCCCAAGGCCATTCCAAGATCCCTGGGCCCACTTGTATTTAAGAGACTAATTCTTCACAGCAAGACTTCTTGTTCGAAATCCAAGAAAACACCAGATAAAGGGCATTCTAAATATATTTCTTTTCTATAGATGCTGATCTCCTGTTACTGGAAAACAGGAATTAGCTTGTCTGCTTGAGGATGTGGTTGGTTCTTTATAAAAAGGATACACAAGAAATTTGCACATAGTCTGCCAGCTTCATTATGCTGCCGACAGCTTCCAGCAAAAGAAGAACATTTGCAGCCAGATATTTCGGTAAGAATTTTATTTTATTCTATCTGGACTATGATTACCTTTGCTCTTGGCTTTTGGCTTGAGAGATGGGGTCACTTGAGGCTGAGAGATGGGATCACTCGATGAGCTGTCTTGGTCCTGTGGGCTGGAAGCATTAAGGGGCATCATCTGTGGTCAAGGCCTTGGCACTGGCTGATGGTGCCCACAGACCTCACCCCTGAACTTGGGAGCTGTTCTGTGTCTGCCTGAAACACAGAGCCTTCAACATGACCATGATCGTTGGAGGGATTTGAGTCCAGTGACTCAGGGCTCTGATGACATTCAGAGTCTGGAAGGACCACCATGTCCAGAGACTGTGGGGACAAGACAGGTCCTTCACGGGGAAGAAGGTACATCCTAGAGCCGCCCTGTATCCTGCTTGGAAGCAATCCAGCCAGGCAGTTGGTTCAGTAGCCCCCAGTAAAGTGCCAGGAGGTAACTGAGGCACAGTGAGACACCCCTCAGGGTGGGTCACGTGCAGGTGCTATGTGGGTGGTCGTGCAGCTGCTTTTGGGGGGGAGCACACAGATGCTGGCTGGGTGGTTGTGCCGTGGTGTTTCATGTTCTTTGGACCTGGACACTTTCCGAGGATGATTGAAATCCCAGATACCAGAGGAAGAAACGCAGACAGTGGTCTTCAACCTAGCTCTACGTTAGAATCATGAAGGAGCTTTTAAAAAATCCCCAGATATTTTTAAATACTGGGAGATTGGTCTGGAGTGGGTTCCAGACATCAGCATATTTTTCGGTTCCCAGGTGAACCTCATGTGCCGGCAGGGCCCAGAACCACCCGACCGAGGCTGGGGAGGCTTCAGACGGCACACAGCGGCCCGTGCTGGGGTCTGAGTGGGTGCGTGTAGGGATGAGGAGTCAAGCTCTGTGTTCACAAAGCCAGGTCGCCGGGATCTGACACTGGGCTGGACACGTGCTACGGGACACTGCTCATAATGTGTCATCTCCTGGATTTCCCTTTCTACAGTAGGGATGGGGAGCAGCTGAAATTAGCCTTTAATTCTGTTTACTTCCAATGCATTAGGGGTCTGTAAAAGCTCCAGATATTTTCCCCTCGGTTGGGTTTACAGTATCATCTGATTTGAAAGGAAAAGTCACTTGCTTTTGTGGAAGCTTCTGGCCACCAGATTTTCACAGTAAACAGACACCCACCCACCCCCACCCCCACCCCTGCCTGGCTTCAGAGTACCGATGCTAATTCTTTAAGGAAAAGACAAATGAGGTATTGCACGAGATACCTGAATTTAAAGAAGTTGGTTGAATTAAATTTTTAAGGGCAGTGAAATTCACATAACCCAATTAACCATTTTAAAGCGAGCCATTAATTCAGCGGTGATTCGTACATTCATGATGTTGTTCAACCACCACCTCTCTCTAGTCCCAAAGCATGTTCACCATCCCGAAAGAAAACCCCGTACCCACTGAGCAGTGGCTCCCCACCTCCCCCAGCCCTGGCACCGAGCGATCTGCTTTCTGTCTCTAGGACATACCTACTCTGGATATTTCATATAAATGCAACCACACAGCATGTGTCCTTTTATGTCTAGCATCTTTGGCTTAGAGTGACGTGTTAGAGATTGATTACATGGTAGCGTGCATCGGTACTTTTCTTTCCTTTAGACTTAATTAATTTTAAAATCATTATCTGACCACAAACAACTTGGCAGCTTTATAAAAAAGGATCAGCCATGCTGTTCTGTAGAAGGCTTCTGAAAATAGGAAAGTTGGCTAGCAGAGGGGAAACAGTTTCTCCTCCTCATCCTTGGTCTCTCTGGGTCGGCCATTCTGTCTCTCTTCCTCTCTCGATTTCTCTCTTTCTCTCTGTCGGTTTGTCTGTCTCTCTCTCTCTGACTTTCCCTCTTCTCTCGACTCTCTCACCATAGATTCCGAAGGAGGTCATTTGGGAACTTGAGCTTGCTTTTAATGGCTATTTCCAGGGAATTAGGGCAAATGGGAGATTCTTTGGGGTTAAACTGTGGTGCTGTGCTTCATTTCTTCACTCTGCCCAGAGTTTTGTTGAGTCAAGGACCTGCCATGTAGCAGGAAGCCAGAAGCCAGCCAGCACTTTGGTCTCATTTGGGGAGACCTGGCTAAAACTCTCACCCAGCCATGGGCACCGCCACTTGTAAGCTTTTCCTGTGGCACGATCCTGCCCGTTTGGACCAGCTGCAGCCTCTTTGCTCACCAGCTTCCCATGCTGCCGCCCACTGGCCTGCCTGGTTCTCTCCCAAGGACTTGTGGCTTCTCCCAATTAGCTGACGCTCCTGGGTACTTCCCACCATGAGTAGCCGGTGCAAGTCTGAATCATGTTGGGCAGGAAGATGGTAACCTCTGCCCATACTGGGCCAAAGAGTCCAGAAGGAAGGCGAAAGCAGCTCTGAGTCCAGTCATCCCTTGAGGACCCCAGCTCCTTGGCCCACAAGCTAGCCTTCAAGACCAAGGCCAGGGGGCTGCTTGGACTGGGCATCCTCCATCACACCCCACCCCGGTGCCCTCCAACTCTGGCTTTGCTCACTTGGTCTTTCTCTGGAACATCTCCTCTCCCCTCCCTGCTGTGGATGGCAGGGACATGAGGAAACCGCAGGGACCCAGGTGGGGAGGAGAGAGTGTGGGAGAATAGGAGACTCAGAGACAGGGGAACTGAAATCATAGGAAAGGAAGTAGTAGATGGTATAGGAGAGGTAGGTTGATGCCATGTTAAGAAACTTGGACTCTTTTTCATGGGCACTAGGGAGCTATTGAAAGTTGTAAGTGTAGGACTGATTGGATCAGATTTATAGGACACCTGAAACTTACAATATTATATGTCAACTACACTTCCAATTTAAAAAGAAAGAAAAATAGATCAGATCTGTGGTTACTGGAAGTGGGGCAGGGGGAGAGGGAATTGGAGGAAAGTGGTCGAAGTGTACAAATGTCCAGTTATAAACAAGTCCTATAGAGGAGTAGAGTGTATAACACAGTGACTGTATTAACACTGCTGTATGATATATTTAGAAGTTAAGAGAGGAGATCCTAGGAGTTATCATCACAAGGGAAAATGCATTTTTTTTCTTTTTCTCTTTTTTTTGTACCTACATGAGATGGTAACTAAATTGATTGTGGTCATCATTTCACAATAGATGTAAATCAAATTATATGCTGTATTCCTTAAACTTACAGAGTGCTGGATGTCAATTATATCCTACTAAAGCTGGGGGGGGGGAGAATTATTTATAGGAAGAATGATGTGGCCGAAGTATGTGAAGTCAGCTCTCACCTAGATTCTTATAAAGACCTCCTTACTGGTCTTCCTGATGCTACCTCTGGCCCATCCATCTCCTCCCAATATTGCAGCTGGAACAAGGCTTTTAAAGCCTAAACCTGATGAGAAGTGGCACTCGCTCAGCACATCCCAGTGGATTCCCATGTCTGTCCTCCAGCTGACTCACCATTACCTGTCACATCATCTCCTGTTTCCCCCGCTTGCTGAGCACCAGCAACATGGCTTCCTTGCTCTTCCTCAGATGCCCCAGGTCTTTGCATGTGCTCTGCCCTCTCTCTGGAGTACCCTTCCCCCCAGACATCCACACGGCTCACAACTGACCTCCCTTAGACCTTTACCATCTTCTTTTAAGGCTTTCCCTGACCACCTGTCTGTGTCCCAGTAGGATAGGTCATGCAGTAACTGAGTCATGGGTCACCTGTCCATCATACTGACTCAAACACCCAGGCTGATGAAATAATCACGTCCCATGGTACTGGCGGCCAGGCCACGGGGTCAAGAGAGAGACTGAGCTCTAGAAAGGTCTCAGGTGAGCAATGCAATCCTCAGTCTGGAAGTCCCACAGGTCACACTCATTGCCAGCTCATTGTCCAACTACCCATAAGGAGTCCAGGAAGTGTCATTCTACCATGTGCCTGGAAGGGAGGGATTGGAAGTATTTGGCAAATGCCATGAATGACTGGACTATTTGCAACCCACTCTGACATTCCTACCCTTCTTCCCTGCCTTATTTTTCTTCACATCATTTATTATTATCTCATATGTGTATGTATGAATTTATTTATTTTTTAAAGATTTATTTATTTATTTTAGAGAGAGAGAAAGAGAATGAGCCAGGGGGAGGGGCAGAGGGAGAGGGAGAGAAAAACTTAAGCAGACTCACTGAGTGGAAAGCCTGACCTCAGGCTCATTCTCATGACCCCGAGATCACGACCTGAGCCGAAACCAAGAGATGGACGCTTAACCAACTGTGCCACCCAGGAGCCCCTCATATGTGTATGTATTTACTTTACACACTTAAAGTGTAAAATTCACCCATTCTAAGTGTACAATTCACCCATTCTAAGAGTACAATTCACCCATTTTAGTATATTTGTAGAATTGTACAACCATCACCATAATCCAATTTTAAGACATTTCTATCACCCAAAAAAGTTCCCTGGTGCACATTTGCAATTAATCCCTACTCCCACTCCAGCCCAAGGAAACCATTGATCTGCATTTTGTCTTTATAAATTTGCCTTTTCTAGACATTTTATGGAAATGGAATCATATATTATGTAGTCTTTTGCATCAGGATTCCTTCACTTAACATAGTTTTTGAGATTCATTCATGGTCTTGTATGTATCAGTGGTTTGTTCCTTTTTAGCTGAATCATACTTCAATTGTACAGATGTACATTTTGTTTACCCACTCACTAGTTGGTTTATTGTTTTACGGCCTAGCGTATGACCTATCCTGAAGAAAGTTCCATATGTACATGAAAATAATGTGTATTCTGTACCCATTATAAGGAGTGTCCTATACATAGCAATTAGGTCAGACTGGTTGATCCTGTTGCTCGGGCCTTCTATGTCATTGCTCATGCTCTGTCTAATTGTTCTAGCAATTATTGAGACGGATATGAAATCTCCAACTCTTATTATTCGGTTGTCTGCTATCCATTTTTGCCTCATGTATTTTGAGGCTCTCTCGCATGTGTGT